GATGCAAACATTTATAATTTGGCTCTATACTCCAGTATTTCGGATTTTAGATCAAATGTTTCATATGAGTTGACAGTAAAGAATGTCACCTTTTATTTGAGGGTATTTATTTTCATACATATCTGAATTACTGTTTAGAAATTAAAGCACTTTATAGATCTAGTCCACCCATTTGAAGATCTCATGAATATTTGGACAAATATCACTTATAATGTACCAAAGTTGTTAATTTTGTATTTGGTCCCATATTCTTAGCACACAATGACTACATCAAGCTTGTGACTCTACAAACTCTTTGGATGCATTTGCAGTTTGTTTTGGGTTATGTTTTGCCCAATAGGAACTTAATGATGAATGGAGTAATTTTTTAAAGATGTTTCTGAACATTTCTAATTCAATCCTGATGTTGCCATGATTAGGAAAAATCATGAATCAATCATGAATAATGATGAGTGAGAAAGTTAGAGGCTACAACAAAACATACTAACCTCTCACCATTTACCAATAATGGGAGAGATTTTGGGGGTGTATGATCTTTGTCCCTCTAACTTTCTCTCATCATTCACAATCTTGTTGTTACAATCTGTTTGTAACTGAAAGAAAAGCAAGCATAATCTTAGCCCAAAATAAATGAGCCCTTTCCAAAAATCACAGAATGGCTGATTTTTCCCTTGCTCGGTGACTAAATGTGATATTCAGGAAGAAGGAGAGGAAGTTATAACGGAGGAAGTAGCTCCTTCCATACCAATGCCAGTGATAATTACCAATGTGTGGTTGCCTTATGTACCTTTATTGAATGCACTGACTAAAGTCAGTCTGAATAACTGCATCTGCTAAACAACCAAAATGTAAAGGTCACCGTGTCCAGAGGTGTGTAAAGGGTGTGGCGGCCCTTGCCAGAAGGGCCCGGTAGGCCTGTCCAAACTGGCGGTTCATTACAGCGTAGAGCACAGGGTTAATACAGCTGTTGAGCCAGGTGAGATTGGCACAGAACATGTGGAGCACCTGGGGGGCGCGGTTCTGCTTATCAGCAATGTTCAGCAGCAGGAACGGGACAAAACAGCCCACAAAACACAGGAAGACAGTGAAACACATCCGGGTCACACGTCTAAACTCAACATTGTCCCCTGAAGAGGTGGTGGTGGTGGAGCAGGTGGGGGCAGGAGTGGCCGAGTGGGGCACAGGGTTAAGGGCAGGGGGGAGCTCCTGTCCCCCTGCTAGGTGAGCTGAATGCGAAGTAAAAGCAGAGCCCAAGGTGGAGTGGGAGGACTGGGCTTTCCCAGGGTGCACCTTCACCTCGCCACCCAGTTCCCCCTGGCTGCTCAATTCACAGCTCTGGGTGGTGGCCACCCCGCTCCCGACTCCACTATCCCCCTCCGTCCCTTGTTCTGATGAGTTCGGCTTCTTTCGTGACGAGCGTCGGCTAAACCGGTAGCGGACCAGCGCCTGTGCCGCCACCCTGACTCGCCTGTAGATGAGCAGGTAGAAAAGCCCCACGCAGCCCAGGCCGATGAAGAAGTAGAAGAAGAGTAGCACGGTGGTGTAAGGGCGCCCCCTGGTGCGGTGGAAGCTGCAGGTGCACACCTGCGGGGCGAATACGTAAACGGGCCAGAGCGGGCCGAAGCTGGCCAGGCCCAGGGCCCAGGTGGAGGGCAGGAGGATGGCCAGACCTCGCCCAGCAAACACCCGCTCAAACACATCCCGCCTCGTTACCAGCAGGTACCTGCTGGCTGCGATCAGACACAGGGTGATGATAGAGACAGAGTTGGAGAGGAAAAGGAGGAGGCCGAAGACGCTGCACCAGAGAGGGCCGCCCCTCCAGCGGAGGTGTAGGTAGGAGTCGACAGAGACGGGCTGCAGCAGGGTGCAGTACAGCAGGTCCGCCAGGGCCAGGTTCACAATCAGCACGTTGAAACGTGTCCGCAGCCGGGTGTCCGTGGCGAAGGCCAGAATGGTCAGCATGTTCCCCACCGTCCCAACTATGGTCACAACCGAACCCCACAGCACGCCGAAGTAGCGGTAGGCCTCCACCGAGGGGTGGTAGCAGGAGAAGGTGTCATTCTGCACGTCGCCTGTGATGTTCTCCAGCATCCTGGGAGGAGAGAGTTATCAACTTTATTGCTCCCCAGGCCAGGGGGAAGTTGGATTGGAAACACAATTATATAAATCATATAAAATTGATTCAACATCAGATACACATAACAAATGTATTGCACATCACATAATTTACACATTATACACAGAGAGAGAAGGGAAATTCCGAAATCATCAGCTGTCAGTCAACAAATGTATGTGGTTTGATGTTCTGTGCATATCAGATCACAGCTAAAAATTAAATTGTTTATTTTTCCACATTCCCAATACGGCATGGAGTAGATATACTGCAGCTACTTCAGCATGACTACAGAGGCAAAAATGTACATTATTTTTTGAATTAATTATGTGTAAAATAAACCGTATCTTATACATACAGTATTTATTTTACGAATTGATCAAATTGAGGGGTCACATGCCCCCTCAATGGACAAGACACTTCAATAGACATGACGCCCCTGGTTGCTGTATTATAATATGACAAGTGAAATCCATGCTATCTAACACTAGGATTGTATAGCAGACTTGACATTATAATCCAATGCCTTTGATGGATTAACCATTAACTTTCAGTTACAGTTCCTGGAAATGAACTGTTAAAACCATAATAAATACAAATGTAGATGTCAGACAGTTCTGTCAGATGTCAACTGCTGTACAGTAGAGTACAGGAAAGTACACTCCAATTGATAATAGTTCTCTCTTTGGGGTGAATCATTAACTCACATTACAGAAGTTGCTCTGAAACTGGGAACATCAACTACCACAGGTAGTGTTAACACAGGAATATTACTTTCAAACAGAGTATCACCACAAAGAACAGAATAAACTTTATTTCTCACCTCAGTTTGGAAGCTTTCTGTCAAGGAGTCTTTGTCTCTCTGCAGTGTCTTGGTATTTGGGTTGTTCTGTGTGTCGTGGTTGTTCTGTTGTCTAAAAGTCTTTTTGCAGTTTATCTGTCACTCAACTGGTTCCTTCTCTTTTTCACCTCTTTTGAGCTTCCTCTCATCTCGTCATATGTGACGCATGGGGTGTGTTTTCTGTTTCATGACGGATCTGTTACTTAATTCTGAGTTTTCACAGCACAGAATGTGTTATTTTCTGATTTCTTCACCTACTGGCTACTGTATCCTCATTTTGTTAGAAATAGTATTGAGTCAAAGCTCACTCTGCGCTACTAGTCAAACATAAGACATCATAACTTAAAAATCAGTATTCAAAAGTATTTCTATGAACATACACTGTACGTATATGTACACTGTACAGTATATAGCATCACCACCACAGTCATTTTGTAAATAATTTATTCATCTTCAGTTTGTTTATTCAACAATAAGGAAGCTCTTTTGCCCACATTGCTAAAACAGTCTACATTTACAGTAATGCTTCAATATTATCTCAGAAATAACATTTAATATATTTATACACATAATGAATTTCTTTATTGCAATGAACAAGAGTCGTTAGCAGGAGTGCTGTAAGTATTGCTACAATTTCCCAGTCCTTTACCCTTCTTATACTGTATGAGAAACTCAGAAATACTTTGGTGGCTTTACAGTGACAACAGGCTCCAACCCAAGCCTGCTCATTTATATGGGTTAGTGTGAGATTGGGTACGGATACATGAGGCAGAGTAGGACAACAGTCTGCTCTTAAAGTGGAAATATATTATTAATTCCATTACTCTGGAGGAAATGTTGGCTTGATATTGCATATTATACTACTATCCCTCACATCACTGCTTGTGATGAGCATGTGAGAGAAAATACAGGTTCATGGTCTTATTCATTTCCCCTCTGTGAACTGTAACGAATTTATCCTACTTTTTCACTTCAAAACATCCTCCATCACAGTGTTTCTCACTCACTCCACACTCAACATGCTACCATCTGGGTATAGGGTCAGAGGTCAGCAATGGAAGGGAAAACCCACCTCCCTTGTGTTCTCACTAGAAGAGCCTGGTGCCATCAGATATCCATAAGGCTCCCCCTGTTATTAACAGTGTAGAAACAATTCCTTTAACACCCTAATACACCACTGTGTTGGGACTGTGCAGTCATACTTAAGCTTTGAGTAAAGGAACTGAAATTAGCTGTCTCGTTAAATCGTTTCCAGTTTGAATGAAAGGGGTCACCATTGAGGCATAGTGTGCTTCATCTATCTCTATCTATCTCCAGAATACACACATACTCACACACATGGAAACACAACACTTTCACACCAGCCATACAAAATAATAAGACAAGGGCAGAAACTAGAGGAATGCTCAAAGGAACCTATTGACTCCTCGAAACAGCTCCATCTTGGCCAGTCTCTTAGGCAGATGTCCCACTCTCCCTTTCTCTCTGACTTCTTACAGACAATAAGACTGACAGTGGAGGTCTGCTAGGAAAACAACAGTTAAATGGTTTATGACAAGTCCATCATTTTTCACTGCATTCATTATTCACATTTCTTAAAATGTCTTATTCACATTTCTTAAAATCGTTTTGCTCTATCTTGGTGCATTCAGTACACAGTTCTGCCTTGAGTCACAGCAGGGTTTAGAAGCCCTCTCTTTTGTTTCTCTCTCTCCCTTCCTTACTTCCTTCACTTCTCTCTCTCAGCTGATCTGACAACAGAGGATATATAGACTAACATCTATTATCCACAACACAACACTAGAACATATATCTAGAACCTGAAAACATACAGTACAACGTACCTTGTGCCTGGATCTGCAGAGCAGGGACCTAATCTAGAACCTGGAACTACAGAGTGGGTTATAGATGTAGGATCTTAATTTGATCCAGTTTGCTACAGCAGGAAATAATCCTGCAGCAACAGGAAATGTGAATTATTATGTGGATTATAATTAATGGACATTTTTGTAGGGGTTGATACATTTTTTCGTAAGGGAAAGTCAAGTCTGAAATTTCAAAGTGGAAATGTAAAACTTCATAGGCCTTTTTAAAACACAAATACACTACTTCTGCAACAGGTTGATCAAATTGAGATCCTACACCTGTAGGTAGGTACTGCACTTGGATTATTGAACACCCCAACAGGGTTTTACTGTATGAAACTTATATTGCAGTTGGCTTTGGGTGGGTGAGCACTGAACCAGAAATACAGAGATGTGGAGGAAACATGAAATAGAACAGAGCTCAGTCTACTGAGTCAGCCTCAGCCATGTTTGACCTGTACAAATATTTTTAACTGAAGGTTGAAGGAGGGTTAAGGGAGGGAAAGCGTTGACAGAAGGTCCATCTGAGTCTGTCATGCATCCTTCCTCTTTAAAATGGCTGCAAGCTGTCCATCCTTTGCTTTGGAAGTTTTCAAACAAAGAAGGGTGGAAGGGTGGAAGGGTGGAGAGGGAGAGGCACAGTCTTTCCTATGTCAAATATTAATGTTCTAACATCTGTCTTATCTATCAATGGTTTTCCCTGTTTACTTCACAGTGTGCTCCTTCCTGATAGGCCCCCATCCCACCACCGTCAATAAGGGGAGAAGAGGATTGGCCCATGGGTGGTGCGCATAGGCCCAGGGGCGGGCCGTAGGAGGCGGAGGTGCGTGCCTTGTAGTGTGCCCTGTAGGAGGTGGTGGTGGGGGTGGTAGTTCTGAGGGTGAGAAATGGGACCAGGGGCACGCAGCTGAGCCAGCTGATTGGAGGAGGCAGCGGCTGCCATCGCCACAGCAACAGCCAGGGGGTTAGGCAACAGTCCATGGCCCAGAGTTTTTGGAAGTTCCTTTGAGAAGGATGACTGTGAGATCCAGAGAGGGAAACAGTGTAAAGGTCAAAATGAGAAAGGTGAGAGAAGAGGCAGACTGTGGTATGCTGTCTATTTGACAATCCAGAGCTAAATTACTGAATCATCAAATAATGATTAAAAGTATTGCTATAGCCTATACACATAATTGGATCATTACCACAAAGTCTGTGCGATTCTTGTGCCGGCTAAGGAGGGGATTGGGCTTCCCTGCAACTCCATCCCGATGCCTTCGACTGGATATATGCTGAAGAGCAAAAGAAGTGTGGTGTTATAAGTTTTCTTCTTTCTCCAAATGTGCATCCTTCTTTCAGTGAGGTATCTGAATGATGAATTAAGCTATAGGTGTAGGGTAAAGTTGCCTCTAGATGCTGATCTGTGGCAGTTTTGCATTTCCTCCACTAATGGTTAAGGTTAGGATTGGGGGGAGGAGTAGCTGATCCCAGTAGTGGAAAATGTACCCAGGTGTCATATTTGAGTAAATGTAAAGAAACCTTAATAGAAAATTACTCAAGTAAAAGTGAAAGTCACCCAGTAAAATACTACTTGAGTAAAAGTCTAAAAGTATTTGGTTTTAAATATACTTAAGTATCAAAAGTAAGTGTAATTGCTAAAATATACTTAAGTATCAAAAGTAAAAGTATAAATCATTTCAAATTCCTTCATTTACGGATAGACAGGGGCAGTGTGCAATTACAAAACTCAGACATAATTTACATAATTTATAAACAAAGCATTTGTGTACGGCAGATCAGAGGCAGTAGAGATGATCAGGGATGTTCTCTTGATAAGTGCGTGAATTGGACCATTTTCCTGTCCTGCCTGAGCATTCTAAATGTAACTAGTACTTTCGGGTGTCAGGGAAAATGTATGGAGCAAAAAGTACATTATTTTCTTTAGGAATGTAGTGAAGTAAAAATAAAAGTTGTCAAAAATATTAATAGTAAAGTAAAGTACAGATACCCCAAAAAAACTACTTAAGTAGTACTTTAAAGTATTTTTACTTAAGTATTTTACACCACTGGCTGATCCTAGATCTGTACCTAGGGGAAACTTCACTCTGGAGCAGTGGTCGTGGTGCTCACTCACTCACCTGTTTGAGTTGCAGCTCGGAGTTTACCCTCACGTTGCAGATCTCACAGTGGAAGGTGCGTTCCTGAGTGTTGTGGTCCGAGGGCAGCCCCCCTGCCTGCTCTGGGCTGAGGTTAGGGCACAGCCGAGGGTATGCTTTGATGGGGCCCAGCCCACTCCACGCCTCCAGGATGGTTTTGTGTTTGGTACCTGTCACCCGTGTAGAGAGTGGTAGAGAAGGAAATATTTGTTGTTGTTGTTTGTAGATTTTGTAAGTTCACATCCCATTGATAAAACTAGTGCTGATAACTACTTGACTTAATTTTCTCTGTGGAGGGTTATGTAGGCCTACATTTCATGATGTTCTTTGATATTTGATGTATTTCTTGTACTATTAAGAAATTACAGAACTATATAGTTGTAATATGGAATAGGCTACCCTGACCTTTGTTTAGATTATTGAATTATTTTGCACCATAAATTAGATTTTGAGTAGTCTACACATCCATAGGCTACTGCGTGTGTCAATGGAAATGAGTCTCCCAAGGCAAGCCTTTCTCGCTGTTTACCTATCAGGATATATTGTCTTCCTCGGTTTAATGAATAACATATTGTTTTTGTGTTTACAAAATTATTTGCAGGATTTCTTTCATCATAGGATGACACAGGATGGGAGCACCCGGGAGCACCCGGCCGCACTAGGTCACCCAGAAGCCAGGTAAGCGTTTAGATATATTTGTATTAGTATGTTCCTTAAACTATCATTTGTTTGTGGCTATCATTGTAATTAACCTAGTCCCCAGGCTAATTGGGCGGAATAATATGGTGAACGAGATCACATTGTAGGCTAATTGACAGTAGAAAGACGAGTAGGCCTAAGCACTATAATGAGTCAGAAAGTGTGGTGACATTGACTAGCCACTAGAGAACACACCCAAACATTTTCAGGATTAGGCTATTCAACACTTTTGGTAACCTATCTCCTGCTCTGTTATTGTCATGTAATAAAAAACCATTATCTCCTATTTCTCTTGTTCACTCTCATTTCACACCTCCTTTTGGCTCTTTTTTTTGGAACATTTCCTTCTCTCCTTTCTCAGTCTAGTACAGGGATGGGCAACTGGCAAAACAAAATGTAGCTTAGGGCTCCCAAAAGGCTAGGGTACGCAGACTGGGCCCCACATGATGAGTTAAGATTTTTGGTGGACCCCACCCCCATCAAAGTTGCCCATCCCTGGTCTTGTCTATAAACTCAGCAAATAAAGAAACGTCCCTTTTTCAGGACCCCGTCTTTCAAAGATAATTCGTAAAAATCCAAATAATTTCACAGATCTTCATTGTAAAGGGTTTAAACACTGTTTCCCATGCTTGTTCAATGAACCATAAACAATTAATGAACATGCACCTGTGGAATGGTCGTTAAGACACTAACAGCTTACAGACGGTAGGCAATTGAGGTCACAGTTATGAAAACTTAGGACACTAAAGAGGCCTTTCTACTGACTCTGAAAAACACCAAAAGAAAGATGCCCAGGGTCCCTGCTCATCTGCGTGAACATGCCTTAGGCATGCTGCAAGGAGGCATGAGGACTGCAGATGTGGCCAGGGCAATAAATTGCAATGTCCGTACTGTGAGACACCTAAGACAGCGCTACAGGGAGACAGGACAGACAGCTGAACATCCTCGCAGTGGCAGACCACGTGTAAGAACACCTGCACAGGATCGGTACATCCTGCGGGACAGGTACAGGATGGCAACAACAACTGCCCGAGTTACACCAGGAACGCACAATCCCTCCATCAGTGCTCGGACTGTCCGCAATAGGCTGAGAGAGGCTGGACTGAGGGCTTGTAGGCCTGTTGTAAGGCAGGTCCTCACCAGACATCACCGGCAACAATGTCGCCTATGGGCACAAACCCACCGTCGCTGGACCAGACAGGACTGGCAAAAAGTGTTCTTCACTGACGAGTCGCGGTTTTGTCTCACCAGGAGTGATGGTCGGATTCACGTTTATCTTCAAAGGAATGAGCGTTACACCGAGGCCTGTACTCTGGAGCGGGATCGATTTGGAGGTGGAGGGTCTGTCATGGTCTGGGGCGGTGTGTCACAGCATTATCGGACTGAGCTTGTTGTCATTGCTGGCCATCTCAACGCTGTGCATTACAGGGAAGACATCCTCCTCCCTCATGTGGTACCCTTCCTGCAGGCTCATCCTGACATGACCCTCCAGCATGACAATACCACCAGCCATACAGGTCGTTCTGTGCGTGATTTCCTGCAAGACAGGAATGTCAGTGTTCTGCCATGGCCAGCGAAGAGCCCAGATCTCAATCCCATTGAGCACGTCTGGGACCTGTTGGATCGGAGGGTGAGGGCTAGGGCCATTCCCCCCAGAAATGTCTGGGAACTTGTCTGGTAACATCTCACAGCAAGTACTGGCAAATCTGGTGCAGTCCATGAGGAGGAGATGCACTGCAGTACTTAATGCAGCTGGTGGCCACACCAGATACTGACTGTTACTTTTGATTTTGACCACCCCTTTGTTCAGGGACACATTATTCCATTTCTGTTAGTCACATGTCTGTGGAACTTGTTCAGTTTATGTCTCAGTTGTTGAATCTTGTTATGTTCATACAAATATTTACACGTTAAGTTTGCTGGAAATAAACGCAGTTGACAATGAGAGGACATTTCTTTTTTTGCTGAGTTTACATTAGAGGTAACTGCCAAAATAAAGGAAACACATGAGCAAATGAGGTATACAAAGTATATTGAAAGCAGGTGCTTGTGTCACGATCGTTGCTTAGAGATGAGGACCAAGGCGCAGCGTTGCAGGCAAACATACTCTTTAATAGAGACACGATCAAAACGAAAACGTGACAGTTCACGGTCTAACACAACAGACTAGAAACAAGATCCCACAAACTCTGTGGGGAAACAGGCTGCTAAAGTATGGTTCTCAATCAGAGACAACAAGCAACAGCTGAATCACGTTGCCTCTGATTGAGAACCACACTGGCCAACATAGAACCACAATACCAGAATGTGAAACCTAGAACAACACACATAGACTTTACACACCCTGGCTCAACATATTAGAGTCCCCAGAGCCAGGGCGTGACAGTACCCCCCCCTAAAGGCGCGGACTCCGACCGCGCCCACCAAACACCACAGGGGAGGGACCGGGTGGGCACTCCGCTTAGGCGGCGGATCCGGCTCCGGGCCTGATCCCCGCTCCCTCTCCAACCCCCCAAAGTACCCCTGGTCCGGTCTGGCCCCGCTGGCCGGAGCTGGACTGCACACTGGTGGAGCGGATTGCTCTAGCTCCGGCGTGAAGCATCTGACCGGTGCCGGACCAGCCACCGGTGGAACAGGCACGGGTCGTGCCGGACTGACGACGCACACCACTGGCTTGGTGTGGGGAGCAGGAGCGGGCCGCGCCGGGCTGACGAAACGCACCACTGACTTGGTGCGGGGAGCAGGAGCGGGCCGGACCGGGCTGACGAAGCGCACCACTGACTTGGTGCGGGGAGCAGGAACGGGCCGAGCTGGGCTGACGAAACGCACCACTGACTTGGTGCGGGGAGCAGGAATGGGCCGGACCGGGCTGACGACGCGCACCACTGACTTGGTGCGAGTGGCAGGAACAGGCCGGACCGTACTGGGAACACACACCACTGGCCCTACGTGGGGATCAGGAACAGGCCGGACCGGACTGGCAACACACGCCAGTACCTCTCGCCGTGCCTCTACATCCTCCTTCCCCCTGGTGACCAGTGACTCCCGTAACCTGGCGGCCTCCTGCTGCCCCGTCGTCCACGGCGTTAGCCCCCCCCTAAAACATTTATGGGCTTCACTCCTACCCGTGGACCAGGTCTCCATGCTCCTCGCCAGCCTTTCGCCCTTCTGCCTCCACGTCAAGCCCCTCTCTTCCTCACATGGCTTGACCCAGTCGAGGAGGCGAAGGAGATCCGCTAGAGATCTCTCAGGCGCTGGCTCCTGGACTTGCTGCTTGGTCCAGTCTTGGTGGGATCTTCTGTCGCGATCGTTGCTTAGAGATGAGGACCAAGGCGCAGCGTTGCAGGCAAACATACTCTTTAATAGAGACACGATCAAAACCAACAAAACGAAAACGTGACAGTTCACGGTCTAACACAACAGACTAGAAACAAGATCCCACAAACTCTGTGGGGAAACAGGCTGCTAAAGTATGGTTCTCAATCAGAGACAACAAGCAACAGCTGAATCACGTTGCCTCTGATTGAGAACCACACTGGCCAACATAGAACCACAATACCAGAATGTGAAACCTAGAACAACACACATAGACTTTACACACCCTGGCTCAACATATTAGAGTCCCCAGAGACAGGGCGTGACAGCTTGGTGCTTCCACACAGGTGTGGTTCCTGAGTGTACTAAGCAATTAACATCCCATCATGCTTAGGGTCATGGATAAAAATGGCTAGAAGAAGAAATGTCAGTGACTTTGAAAGCGGGGTCTCAAAGGAGCATAGGGGGTTTAAAGGGTGTGTGTGTGTGTGTGTCTCAGTCACCGGATCTCAACCCAATTGAACACTTATGGGACATTCTGGAGTGGCGCCTGAGACAGCCTTTTCCACCACCATCAACAAAACACCATATGATGGAATGTCTTGTTGAAGAAAGGTGTCGCATTCCCTCCAATAGAGTTCCAGACACTTGTAAATTTATAATCTATGCCAGGGTGCATTGAAGCTGTACTGGCGCCTCATGGTGGCCCAACGCCCTATTAAGACACTTTATGTTGGTGTTTCCTTATTTTGGAAGTTACCTGAATGTACTTCTTCTCATCCAATTCTACTCTCATCTTCTCTCTTCATCCTCCCCTCCTCTATACTGTTTTCTTTCCTGATTGATCCCTCTTTACAAGCACACATGCTTTTTCTTTTTAGAAGCCCAACTCTGGCAGCTCACTCAATGGCCTAAGTTCATTAACCATTTTCAAAACCATTTCCAGACTGTTTTCTTTAAATACCAAAACTATTTACTCACGCCCTGTACAATTGCTTGGATACTGTTTATAGCTCAACAACCCACATTTGTATATTTTAAATCAGGCCCTCACAAATGTGGAATCTCCTTAGTGTGTGTTCATAACTGTGGACAAGCCCAAATGACTATATGTGCAACTAGTTATTTGACTCCGTATACATAATGTTTTATGCACTGTGCATCATTAAACATAACAGTCATATTCTGGTAACCTGCCAGTTTGTAATCATGGATGTCAGTAACTACGTATATGTAATTACTTCCAGGTATGTGTTTTAGAGGGATGGCTTTAGGTAACACAAACATAACTAGTTGTCCCATGTGGCTCAGTTGGTAGAGCATGCCACTTACAACGCCAGGGTTGTGGGTTCGATTTCCTTGGGGGACCAGTACGAATGAAAATCTATGCACTCAGTACTGTAAGTCACTTTGGATAAGAGCATCTACTAAAATGATGCATTGTAACTAAAAGAAACTGTAGCTGATTAAATGCTATTTAAAATGACCCAGACACATAGAAGGATTGTCCTGTCTCTCTATGTGGTGGATGAAAGCCAAGCTGTTCTTGTGTCATTTGAGTTGAGCTGGTTCCTCTAGCCTTGAACACACTGAAATATTCATTGGTGACTCTTCTTCCCTGAGAGTGTGACTTAGTTTATGTTTGTGTATTATGTGTGTGCATCAGAAGCCCTGGCTTAATATTGCAACATTTGGCCTTGTGAAGTTATTCAACCGCGATGGCTTAGCCGTGGTTTGCAGTGTATTCATAAATCATTGAGTGGAAGAAAATATATTTTTGTGTGACAGTGGTATCCCATGAGTCAATATCAGAGATCAGGCCGTGAAGAACACATACAATGTGTTTGTAAAGACTCAAGTGTCACTTTGTGTGGCTAAATTTGAGCCTGCTGCAAAGGCAATATCTATCTAGGCTGGAACGCTCAATGACTATAGACTTTATTACACATTGCGTTATCAGTTCTGTCTTTGGATGGAGCCTTACCTTTGTTGTGCGCCTCTAGCTGAGAGAGGGAGTTGACGGCCACTTTGCACAGTGAACAGTAGAGCAGCTTCTTGGCCTTGTCCTCCTCAGACTCCCCTGAAGAGAGGCTGGGGGCCGGGGACGGGGTGTCAGGGGGACCCGCCATGGGGGTGTCCACCTGGGGGGCACAAAGGGCCGGGAAGGGGGTGGAGGTGGTGGGCATGGGTGTACTCAGAGGGGGCAGGGATGGACACACAGGGAGCAGGGGGGTGTCTGGGACAAACATGGGGATGGGGCTGGGTGTCACGTCTGAGCCGTTTGAATGTGGGCAGGACTGGACGTCATCTGTGAAGAGAACAGATAGTAAATAGAATGTTTTCTACCATATTGTGTAGAGCACACCAGATAATATTATGATGAGGATGATAATGATGGTGCTGCGGCACTAGTACAGTACTATGTCTGAACCTACAGGGTCAAAACTCTGCCCCAGGGGGCCACACATCTGTCTCCCCCATCTGGAGTGAGTCGGGGTAGGAGGAATACCTTGGTCATGTCAGGTTATTCAGGTTGGAGAGTGTTAAAGGAGGGTCAGTAGAACAGCACAGTACTCTTAATGTTATTGCAGGTTAACCACTGTATGTAGCACAGGGTCATCTTGCCTGCCAATTGAACCAAGACATAAACAAAATACACGTTTTGAGAGCAAATAGAGCCTTTATGGAAAAATCATCAGAACAGCATCCTCATACTAGATAGTATTTAACCACAGACACAATCAAATCTGCCAGTTTTTTCTCTCCCAGTCTTTCCTGTGTGACAGTATGTGTCAGGGGAAGCTCTCTGTGGTGCCTCAGTTTTTTTTCCCAATCTGATGACAGCCCTCCCTCCCTCCCCACCACCCTCCTCTCCTCTGCTGGCCAATCCCAGTGACTGATGCCTGGGAAGCTGATCCTTGTCAGTGCTGACAGAGGCGTCTCTTAGCAGACAACCCCCTGTAAGACTCTATTCTGTTTCACCCCTGACATCTGACTAAACAGCTGTACTTTACACACACACAGACTGAAATGTGTGTGTATTTAGGTTATATCTCTGTGTGGGTTCAGCATGTGTGTGTGCGGTGTAGAGCATAGATGGTGCTTACCCTGTTTGCTAGGGTCAGGGCCTGGGCTGGATGGTGAGGGGCCTGGTGGAGAGGGGGAGGCGGTGGGGGGAGCGGCCGGCTTGTCACCTTCCTGGGGGCGAGTCTTGGAGGTCTCAATGCCTTTTACCCTCCGAGCGTGGCGGTTCCCCTTATAGTGGGCCTCTGCCTGGCTCTGAGGAGAGAACATGGGGAGGAGAGGGTATGACATCCTAATCCACATGGGTATTATTATTCACACACACCTGAGCGCCATGCTTCTCTGATATCTGCGTATATCGTTACAAAAAATATATACCCAATCTTTAGCAGGTGACATGATTTGCTCACCTCAATAGCAGCCTTAGCATGGCCATGGGACACCACGCACTCACACCCATGCTGTTATATTTTAGCTCTACGGTTGTGTCCTATGCTCCTGTTTAGTGCAGTATCTATCATCCACAGGCCTATTTATTGAGACCCAGGAGTAAACTCTAGCCACAGTGTTGACTGGATGTCTCTCAGCAGATGGCTTTAGGCTGTCATGTGAGCCCTGTGCTGTCCCTGCTCTGTACCTGCCTGTCCCCGTAGCTGACTGACTGGCTGGCTGACTGGCTGACTGGCTGGAGCACTCTTCAGCAGTTCAGCAGATCAATTATGCATTCATATCTGATTAATTTATCACTGAGATCCCCAATTTCTGCCCAGCCTGCCCGTTCCGCTGTCATTAGAGATGAGGGTTTTATAACTATCCTTGTTCAACACAAAATAGCACAACACACAGCAACTGAGAGCAGCTAAAC